GTGTGTGGTGGGGGAACCCACCTTACAGCATTATAGATGTCTTAATGGCCTTAAATATCACTTAAAAAAGAAAGATAGAGAATGAACGTAGTGCTGATAATTAGTGTGCTAAGCAAGTTCACAGCACATGTCAGGGGGCTGTACTGCAGGATGCCTGGTTTCTGAATCCCAAATTGATTTATTAGGGGAGCAAACATACAGGACAGGTTTCAGGTCTCCTCACACTGGACATGAAGGTAAGTATTCACCCTTTTTTAGCTTTTGTTTGTAAGCACTACTGGTCCTTTTTCATTCTAAGTGGCTAAGTCGCACTTTCGGTGAAGAATGACTATTTTGGAATTGGCGGACCATAGCAAACTGACGCCTAAAATTATCTAAAAAGCACACTTCTATTTGGGCTTCAGTTTGACAGGTTTCAAAATCTATCTTTATAAAATGAAATTCCGCCAGAGGTATCTATTTCCCTCTATTGATTATAATAGAAACTTAGACAACAAACTCTTCAGACATAGTTATAGTTTCTTAACTTCTGGATGTCTCAAATTAGGTGAGATGAGTCCCCCCTCAGGTATTCAGTCTAAGGCTGTTATTGAGTTATCCATTATAAAGGGACAGGCACGCCCAGAGGGTGATATTGCCCATCCTAGCACAGATAGACAAAGAGAAGGATGCACAAATCTCTGGAAATGTCTTTGTCCCTTGTGTAGGAATCGTAGAAGATACTCAGAATAGATCAGAAACTTTTAGACTGTTAAACCTAAGTCAAATGAATCACTCCTCACTTCTTCTCACCCCTGTATATATGTACATAACAGTATCGTTCTACCCCATCCAAGAATTAATTCATAATCAAAGAAATCCTGAGCTGCCACAGTGGGTGAGATGGTAAAAAAGGTGCTACAACACTATATTTTTTTAATCCTGTGTAATTTGTGGGTAGAATAAAGGTTGATGTGATTTAGCTATGCGTGATTCTGCCCCTCTGCTCCACTCTCTTGAGACCCCACCTGCAGTGCTGCTTCCAGCTCTGGGGGTCCCAACATAAGAAAGATATGGACCTGTTTGATTGAGTCCAGGGAAGGCCACAAAGATGCTCAGAGGGTTGAAGCACCTTTCCTGTGAAGACAGGCTGAGAGAGTTGGTGTTATTCAGCCTAGAGAAGAGAAGTCTCCAGAATGATCTTATAGCACCTTTGATTACCTAAAGATCTTATAAAAGAACTGGAGAGGGATTTTGGATAAGGGCCTAGAGGGACAGTACAAGTAGTAATGACTTCAAAGCGAAAGACGGTAGGTTTAGGTCAGATATTAGGAAGAAATCCTTACTGTGAGGGTGGTGAGACACTGGCACAGAATACCCGGAGAGTTTGTGGATACCCCATTCCTAGCCGCGCTCAAGGCCAGCTTGGATGGGGCTCTGAGCAACCTTGTCTAGTGGAAGGTGTCTCTGCCCATGGCAGGGGGGTTGAAACTGGATGATCTTTCCAACCCAAACTATTCTATGATGGTTCTATGAAGAGTAAAGAGTTTATTCTGTGTGGGTGGATGGACAAGGCCACATCTTGGATTTGTAAGATGTGTTGTGCAGAATGACTCTCCAGCATTTGGCTGTTGCCCAGATATGAAGACATGGAGAAAAGGAGAAAACCAAACTGAAGATGATGCCTAGGAGGGAACATGACTGACAGGTATGATGATAATATTGTCCACAGTGATTGAGAATGGAGGTGGAGGAGAGAAAAGGAAAGTTTGTGGAGGAAAAGCATAAGAGCTCAGTTTTATACATATTGAGCTTGATCTGACAGCTAAACATCCACCAGGAGATGCTGGAAAGACAGTCCAAGATTTTGGCTTGGACAGGAGTCAGTCCTGCAGTAGAGAAGTTAGATCTGCAAACTGTCACTGTAGCAATAGCAGCTGAATTTGTGTTGGTGGATAAGGCTGTTAGGGACAAGGCTTGGATGAGGAAGGGAAGAGGATGATATGAAAAGACCTGTTTATGTCCCCATATGGATGGAAAATAGAGACAGGAGGGGATGGAGTAACCAAAGCTAAAAGTACGGGGCGTACAATTGCTATAAATATATTATAAATACATGCAAGAGTACATGAAAATTATGATCTCTTATAAAGGAGGATACAGAGATCAAGTAAAACACTATCATAAAGTTGATGAGCTCATAGGCAAAATGATCTAAAGAGACAAAAAAACCCCCCAGCTCTCTTGACAGGTGGATACAGAAGGAACTTTGGACCTGTTCAAAAGGAAGGAATTTTGGGTAACCTATTTCTAAAGGAAATTGATTGTTTAAAAATTGGAAAGCTTTAGACCTGTTTGGTGGACTCCTAGGAGAAAAAAGTGCCTTGCATAGCTAAGTGAGCTTGTGGTGGACGGTGGTCAGGCACCTGTCCAAGGTAAGGTTAATTAAAAAAAAAAAAGAAGAGAAGAACTATCATAAAAGAGAGTTGCCTTTTGAAACTATTAGGCAACATATGTTGTGTGAACGGGAAGTCACAGCAGAGCAATAATCCTGACAGCTGTGGAGGAACGGGAGTCTGCTGCAGGAATGAACGGCTCGAGACCTGACAAGAATGATGATGGATGCTCTGTTGGTGGTACACGAGGACAAACCAAGAGGCACTTAAATTGGCTGAACAACAGGAAAAAAAGTTGAGTTGGCATCACAACAGGACAAACAAGGCCAGTGCTAGCAGTGGGAGAAATGGAAGGGGCTGAAGGAAGATGGCAGCAGTGCCCCCCTCTTTCCCAAGGACGACGGCTGCGTCGCTGTCTCACCACGAGGTGGCTGCATTTCCCTGTGAACATCCAAGCCCTGAATGATGCTGCACACTCCAGTGTGCCATGAAAACCAAGAATGGCAGCAGAGATCCTTGCAGGATTTGGCCTGTCTCTTCAAAGAACCTTAGGAATTTTGAGACTCTGTGGGAAAAACCTCTGTTGCTCTGTGTTTTCACTGATTGTCAGTCATTTGGCAGGTCCTCATGGGTGCGCTGAGAGATGGTGGCTGACTGTGTTGTTGTGCCTGCTTGTAGCTCATAGGAGATACAAGGCAATGCCACATAGCTTATAATGAAGAGGAGGACATTAATAATTCCCTCCTTGCTTTTCCTGTGAACCAAGAGTACATACTTAGACTGCTGCTGAGGTTCAGCCAATTCACAGACCCTTGTGAAGCCATGGAAACTTGATGGTGAGTCTGGAATGGGCACCTAGAAAAGGTTAAATTGTGATGCTTTTTCACATGCCTAGGTCTGGTTATTCAAGAACGTTCTACAACAGCTATTTGAGTCACGTATATCAAGAGGAAAAATGGTCCCTTAAAATTGACCCATGGATTGCACAAATTCTTAGTTGTTTTGTACATCCTAAGCTCAGTTGATATTACCAGGATAGAATAGTAATTTGTTTCCAGGTGACCAAGAGATGAGTACTTTTTTCTTATCCAAAGTGTTCTGAAAGTAGGAAGGAAAAAGGCTGGGAAAGAATAATAATATTTTGGGTATACTAGATCTAGAAAAAATCTTCAACTCTCCTTGGGCTTTGCCTGTTTTCTCCTGTCTTCCTCTCCCATGTGTTACAGGATTTTGCAAGATTATTGTGATGGGGACTGACGTTTTATTAAACCTTTTTGTGGTACCACATCTTATGGAATCGAAATTCCTGACATCAGCTTATAGACGCTATTACTTTGGGTCAAAGTTCGAAAGAACCTCTTTGCCTTGTCTCAGGAAAGATGTTCATAATATTCGACTATGGGATGTAAACTTCAAGCCCAACATCTGGTTTTGTTAGGAGGAACCTGTTAGTTTACTCTTAAAAGCATTGAAGTACTTCAAAAATTTGAGACCTACATCTTTAAGGAGATTTTTTTTTTCAGTAGCATCACTGGTAAACATGTACCATTTTTAAACTGATTTGTCTAAGATGGGGTTCCAAAAAATGAGATCTTGATGATTTGCTAGTTTTAGAAACCTTTTCCTTTTTCATTCCTGCAAAATTCTAGAGAAAAATCTGTCAGGCCCGCTTTTAAACTTATTTGGATAAATTCATGAATTTGCATTACAGTGTCTTACTGAAAGGGAGATTTTACACTCTCAAATATTTTTAATTGAGCTTTCTTGTATCCTTTCCAAGTTGTTGGCATGCTTCTTAGCCTTTCATGATTTACACTGTGAATAATTAGTAATAAAAATAATATACTATTGTAATAAACCAAAACATGTTGTACCAGATTGTCTTTCCCTACTGACAGTGGAATGCCTTACATTCCTCTCTGTCTTGTGATGATGTACAAATATCTGTTTGCATAAAAAATCCATCTCCATTGCTATTTTCTTGAACTACCAGTCTTGAAACCCCATATCAGTAGATATTTGTACAAGTGGAATGATCCCTCCAGTGTTTCCTGGAAGATCCAATAGCTGGTCTGACAAGCTTTCAAAAGTCAGAGTTAGGGGACCACATTTATGCCCACGTAGGTGCTTTTGTGGTAGCAGTGAGAGGTGCCCATCCCTGTGTGATTTGTCTCTAGCTCCTTATGCCTCGTATGAATGTGCTACTGTCTGCTGAACACTGGCAAAAAAATTCTTTATACTTTGCCTAGAGGCAGGCACTCTTTGAGGGGGGAAAACAAAGAAGCTCTCAGACATAAGTTTCTACTTGATTCTTCCCTTTGAAACTTGAAAGATTACACTCATGGTGAGTCTGACCCAAAGTTTTTGGCATCTGTGAACCACGACTTTTTATCAAGTCTTCAAAACTGGTGGTGACAGGATACAGCACCCCTTTGGGTTCTGTGCCTGTGAGGAATGACGGTGTCATCCTAGCCCTTCCACTGATGAGTTAAGCACATCCAAGGCCCTGAGCCTTTTGGATGATGAGTTGCAGAGCAGAGATAAATCATCCCTCCTCCTCAGTCAGGCCACAGGGCAGCCAAGGCTGGACCTGTTCTCCCTTGCCCATGTTACAGAGCTACTCACCGGCATTGTCTGGCTGCCATGCAAGGCATTGATGGCAGCTTGGGCCTCTGCATGTGAAGAGTATTTCACAAATGCACACCCTGGAAGAGGAAAAAGAAGAGAGTAAGAAAGGTTGCATGTATGCCATGAAAGTCCACCTAGCTGAGTGCCCTGTCCTCAGAACTGGCCAATAAATACGTCTGTGGAGAAACTATAACAAACAAATGTGCCTTGATCCCTCCCAGAGTCCAGCTGTCAGCAGCCGGAGGACCACTTAAGGCAAAGCTGCAACCAGAATTCCCTCATTGCTTGTAATGAGCACTGACAGACACAGGCTTAGCAAGTAATCTTGAATCTACATGTTTTGACCTCCACAACTTTCCATGGCAAAATCTTTCACAATTTTACAGGTTTTTTGGGTGAAAAAGACTTTTCTTTCATTTGTGTTAGACTTAATGCAGAGTGTTCCGCCCTCTGTGGTTATGAGAAATGGTACAGAAGAGTGTTTAAGTTATCAGAAAGTTACACACACATAATTTTTACAAGCAACTACAGGCCAAATATACAAAAGGCATTCAGAGTTACTCCAAATCCATAAGGTAATTTATCATTGTCTGCTAGAGCTCCATAAGACACTGCCCAGAGCTTGTCCTGGCTCCAAACAACTTTGGTCTGACAAAGCTTCTGATGAAGTAGCAGGGATGGGAGAGGTACAAGTGATGATGTCCTTCTTATCAACAGCAAACTTTGAATCTCAGTCTTTCATAGCTGCAAAGCCTGTGCCAGTGTAGGTGTTCTCTTCTGGACATTAGAGAAATGTAGGCAGTGCTTCTCTGGCCTGCATTGCCATGTGAGGAATCTCACACTGAACTCTTACATAAGGTTTTAGGACAGAAAGGTGAATTTATGAATATATGCTGGAGTGCAGAAATGATCAACACTTCAAAGGGTGACATGCACCACTAGAGTGGGGGGATGTATTGCCAACACTCCTAGCTACAAGCAAACTGACTCAGAGAGAGGAAGAGTAATTTCCATATGCTAAGGCGGTTTTTGGAACAGATTGGGAGAGATCTGAGAAGTTCTGGCTTCCATCCCCTTCTATTACTACCAAAGACTTCTGAGCTTTTAATCAGTTTGCAAAACCCTCACTGTTTCCCTGAAGGGGTCCAGAGGGGATGCCAGTCCTGATGGTGGGATGTCTCTCCTTCATTCCCTTTGCAGCATCTTTAGAGGCTTCACACACCCTCATGGATCCCTACAGCTCAGGGTGAAAAATGAAGAAGTAGAACTTGCAAACTGGAAGAATGAGCCCCAAAGGTCCCTCAGATCATCACTGCAGGCTGATAGAAGTGAGATTGAAGAAAGTGGTGATAGCCCTTTCCAAAAATAATACACATTTATGAAATTAGTTTACAGTTAGGAGCCCTTTAGTTTGTGCCACCTTCTCAGCACTGTGCTCAGACTGTATTTCAGGAATAGCCCAACTGTTATTGCTAATAGTTGTATCTAATTTATAAGGAGCTGAGAGGAAACAATCATGAGAAAATGAGATAGATAAACTTCAGCTGGAAACAATGGGGATCAATTATGACATAATCGCAGCCCAGCATTCCCAGGCTCCTGAGATACTGCGTCTTCCTCTTCATTAATCAGAGATAATCCAGAATTAGGGCGTTTAATTATTTGCAGAGATTCTTTTGTACTTTCTGCCTCTAAAAAGAAGATGCTGATTAGCAAACATACAAAAGCTTTCCAGTTTCAGTCACCCATTGCATTTAGTGCAGGATTTTTGGCTGCAGTGTTGTTGTCATATTGAAGGCTTCACTCTTTTCAGGTGAAATTCACCTGTATGCTGAGGGTCCTGATGGATCAGTGGCGCTGGAAAAAGGTGGCAGTGAAGGGAGTAGCAGGCATTTATCTTGTTTAATGCCCAAGATATTAATGGGATCCCTCCTACTGCTTCCTATTAACTTCTTCCAGTAGGTTTTGAGGCAGCATAAAGAATGACAGTGAAAACTCAGTTTTTACTGGTGTATGGTGGCAAGGCAATATCAGAGATGCCAACATTTTGTCCATTTTGTTTGTGTGTTCAGTGGGATGGCTTCTGTATATAGCACCAAAAGTGCACATAACCTTCCTTCTCATTTCACCAGAACTGACTCCAGGAGCTCGTGAGCTGAGCACGTGAGTCCAACCACTCTTCTCAGAACAGCGGTGGGACTTAGACAGAAGCAAACCTGGAGCGTGAAGGGATTTTGACAAACAGTCAACCTGTGCTGAAGAGGGTGATACATGTGCTTAAGTTTTTCCTGATTCCTAACATCCAGATTACAGAGCTGGAAGGGCTGCTCTGACTGTCTTGTAAGCTTAGAGGAGACTGCGGAGTCAGGCCCTAGGATTATGATTGCAGAAAATGCTTACATTCCTCTTGTGGAGGGTGCTGTGAGAAATTTTTACTCTCTGAGTTATCAAGGCATACAAATGCTTAATGGGAAAAAAAAAGGGGGAAAGGGATAGCAGAGAGCAGCAGCAATGGGTCTTTCTGGCTTGCTGAACTGGACCCACTTCAGCTCCCTCACCTGAGGAATCCTGGACTTCTGACTGCATACTAGTGAGCTTTACCTGGAGGGAAACCTCTCTTCCACCTGGTTACCTGGTTCCAGCTCTTCTTCCACCTGGTTGCCTATGCCAGCCACTGTGCCTGCTGCTGAGTGACCCTGCAGGAGGTATTTCTGCAGACCCTGAAGGGCATGCCTCATGGCTCAGGACACCAGCCATGGCTTCAGGCAAGGCTCAGCAGCTTTTTGGCTGTGACTGGACTGTGATGGCATTAAACTGGGACTCTGCAACCTGCCTTCTGAGAGCACTGAGCTACCTGAAGGACTTAGAGGCTCACCACAGGGATGCCTTGTGGGGCTTTACGCAGCGGGTTGGTTAGGACTGAAGTCCATGGGATCTGATTGCTATCTTGAATTTAGGCAATCTGCTTAAATCTCAACTGATGTAGAATTTAAGCCTTATGGGTTTTACCCAAAATAAGTAGCTCACAAGCAATGTGTGTCACATATAGGTTTCTAGCAGATGGAAAACATTACAGACTGGGAATAACTTTGTGGGAGTTGTGGCTTGCCTGACTGTCTCCTAAGATAAGGGCACTAGCCTTAAGTTTTCCACTGGATTGACTGCTCTGTGTGAATGTGTGCATGTACGAAACTGTGTGTGTGTAAATTAGGAGCTTCACATTCTCAGTAAATAGCACCAGCAAATGGAAGCTGGTAATATTAACTCTGTCAAGGCTCAGTATTGATCCTGAGCAGCTCAGTGAAACGCCAGCCTGAGACTGCAGCCCGCTAGCACTAATAATTAAACTGGTTAGCAATATGGAGCTGCCACTCAGATTCTGTCCTATAATGAAATTGTTTAAGAAAAGAAAAAAAAAAAAAAAAGATAGAGCAAGCATGAAGACAAGTCTGTGGTTTGGATCTCCTCTGGAATTTGTTTCTTACAGATCTCAGACTTTATTGCCTTTATTATTGCTCTGTTTAACTCCTTTGTCATTAGACTTTGTTCCATACAATTCCAGGTGGAAGCAGACAGATGTATTTTTTTTGCTTTTCCCCAATTTACTGATTCGTTCAGTGAACACAGTGCTTAACTGCCTGCTGTTATGATGATTGGAGCTCCTCTAGGCCACGATAGCCTACTGCTTCCAGCGGGGCAGCCCCTGTTTCTGGGTGTTGTGGAACTTAAGTACACAACTGAAGAAAGGTGCCCACTTTTCCGCCTATTTTCAGCCATTTATAGCAGGAAGGCTGAGCTGTGCTGACGTATATTTAGCAGATGCCCCATAATGACGGTGTGAAGTAGTTCTTTTTTGGCCAGCAGTGATTTTTATGGAATAACAATATATTTCTCCAGTGTATCGCTGTGATTTGGATTTTTTGCCTCCCTGTTGCAAAAACGTGCTGGTTGATGTTGTCACTTTTCAAAATACCCAGTGAGACACGAACTGTGTCAGCAGGACTGGTCTCTTCTCTGGTGTTGAACATTCCAACACGGTTTATGCTATATTATACAGATATATTATGCAGATCAATATTTAATGGACACACTATACTGTCAAGAGAAGAGGGCTTCCTATTCAGATTGAAGTTACTTTGCCTAGAGACTGATGGGGACAAAAAATTACCCTCCTGCTTGAGAGGCCTTATTCTTATACCTGGGCTGTAGCAGAGGATCTTTTGTGCTATCCAGGTTACAAGTGATGCCAAAAGAGGCAGAAGAAGCAAAGGCACCTAGTTTTGCAGTGAGGCATTTGCATGTTTCAAACAGTAAGTATCTACTGAGTGTAATATTTAAACTGGCACCTGTAGCCTTGTAGTTGTGATCACTGACTGATAGGAGTCCATGCAAAGACCAGGTGGAGGAGGAGAAGATCTGGGTCTGGTGGATGGGAAATAAGCAGAGTTGATGATGGAGCCAGTGAGTCAATTGCTAAAGTACCAATTGTGTCTCTCTTTGGAGAGGTGTGTTTTGAGATGCAGTCAGCTTTTTTCCCCTTGTGCACAGAGCGACCAGCAAAGTACTGCCTTCCCTTTGCAAATGTGATCCCTTCCTAAAGGAAGAGATGCTGTTCTAGAGGCTACATGGTGCTTTTGTCATACCAGAAAATGACACTAAGGCCAGGTCTAGCTTGACACAAGCCACCACCTTACCTTTGCTGTTGCCATCGGGTCCCCGAAGGATCGTGCACTCCTCGATGTTGCCAAACGCCTCAAATAGCCTGCGCACATCGTCTTCCGACTGCTGCTTGTTGAGCATGCCCACAAAGAGTTTTCTGTCTTCTGGAACAAAATAAAGAGATGCTTACCATATTTCAGGAGGGATATGAGAGCCAAGATGGCTCAGCATCACATGCAAAACAAACAGTGATTTCATTGAGGTGACACATTTCAGAAGCTGCTAATCTTTTCAGGTGGCTGGCTCGAAAAACCTTAATAGCCTCTGACTTTCAAAGAGCACTTGAAAATAATCCAGCAAATTTTAAAAAAACCAAACCACTAAACAACAAACAACAGCGATTTCGTTACATATACAAAATCTCTAACTGCCTCTTAAAATCTAGGCACCAAAGTGTTCCAAATCAGCTTCTTCTGATCAATTTTTGCAGTCAGCTTGCAGTAACTTAAATGACAACATTGCTCAGACTCCAATCCAAGAGGAATGTGGATAAAGATAGCATATAGAAGCCAAGTCCAAATGAAAAATAACATAAGTTAGTAGCCCTCGCAATACTAAATAAGTTGCAGGAAAAAAATGTTTAACATAAGCTTTTTTAAATCAGGATATAACGGAAGTCACAGCCTGTAAATTGGAGATTTGTCATTCAAGCCCACTCAGAGACATGTATCTACAAGTTTGGATGAGTTTTTTAATATATTTATAAAGTTCATTTGAAATAAGCCCAAAGTTTTTTAAACATAAATTGTTTTTTGAAACATAAAGTTAACTTATATGATTGCTAATATCTGAGGTAGCTTGAGCAGGTGGTATTTCATGCCAAAGCAGGACATGGTCTGCCAGTAGATAATTGTATTTTGAACAAGGATGCTCAATGTAACCCAGCAGTGTGGACTTCCAGCCCAGAAAGCCAATCCTGTCCTGGGCTGGAACAAAAGCAGGGTGGGCAGCAGGTCAAGGGAGGTGATTCTGCGCCTCTGCTCTGCTCTTGTGAAACCCCTCCTGCCTCCAGCTCTGAGGTGCCCAGCATTAGAAAGATGTGGGCCTGTTGGAGTGAGACCGGAGTGTGGGTTGGAACCAGGTGATTTTTAAGGTCTCTTCCAACCCAAACCATTTTATGATTTATGCTCAGATTTATACCAAGTTTGGGATCTCCATGAGACTCCTTCAGAAAATATTGATGAAAACAGACAAAACTTATGATTGTCAGAAATATGTCAGAGGGTGCTGAGTGATGCCTCGAGATCAGGTTTCTGTTCAGAGACTAACACCATTACACCAAGAAAAAAAAAAAAAAGAAATTTACATAGTTTACATCGTGTATGTAAACAGGCCATTTGCACATGATTCATAAATGTCTCATTTATCATTCATTAAACACTATGTAAATGTGTGAACCAAGAGGTTTTTATTCAGAGCACTTTACAGAGCAGATGTAACCAATTTGAATAAATATATGTAAATATATAAATAATTTTATTTTTTTATTTAATTTATTTTTTAATGTACTGGTTAACCTAAAGCTGAGCAAAACACTGGTTTGCAACAACCCTTTTCTGGCTGACTAATTGGGCAATTTATGTCACTTTTGTTCACCGAGAAATCACTGGTGTAGGCAATCTGTTCTGCTTCAACCAGTGTTTGATCAAAATTCCCCTCTCCAAGATGCACCTGCACATTGGCAAATTACTTTACAGCCTTGGATGTGAATAATTTTTCATGCAGTGGCTATTGAGTGGGGATATTAGGAGCTTTCAACCCTGCAGTCGAGTTATTCACAGCAACGAAAAGTGAACTACCCACAGAAAACAAGGAGTTATGTTGCTTTCAGTTAGGCTGATAAACTGGTAGGAGAAATAGGTTTAGGAGGGTACATGAGCACTTCTGATAGGTGAGAAAAACTAGAAATAGCCTTCTGACAGACATGTTAAAGCAAGAAATATTCCTACTTTATGTTGGAACTTATTAAGCAGAGAGACATTTTGTGTTCTTTGCTGACAACACAACATTCAGACTTTAATGATGCATAGATCTCTAACACCATGGAGATTGTCCTCACCTCATGAGGAGTTGATTTGGACATGTGAAAAGGTTTTTTTCTCAGAGGCCAAAGGGTCCTGCAAAAGGACATCACTCCAAGATGTGAGGTATATAAGCCTTAGGGAGGCAGCTACTGAAGTTCACTGTGCACTCTAGGGGGCATCTTTCAGTCTAGGACATGACAGAGCCTTAGAAGAAGAGTCCCGTCCTAAGTCCAAAGGTTGTCCAGATATTGGAAGAAAACCCACCCAGCAAATGAGACCACCTGTCCTGCAAGATGGGAGATATTTTAGGAAGAAGGCAGAGCAGTGGGAATGAACTAGGAACACTGTTGGTAAAAGGTTTTACTCTGTGTCTACTAAATAAATCCAGCACAACAGAAGCCTCAGTTATATTGTACTTTATACAGCTTCCCCTGTTTCAAATAAGCTGCATCAGCAAAAACACTCCTACAGATGTGTAACTGTGTTTTCACCAGACTTTCTGTTAATATAAATGTATCTTTTTTTTTTTTTTTTTTTAAAATCACATCCCCCCTCTGTCAGCAAAACTCTCTAGTGTGGAACTGGCCTAAAACTGCCTTGTCTGGTCTACTTTATGCAAACCTAAAACCAGATGTTCTGAGAGCCATTCAAATTTTTTTTTTTGGTTATTATTACATTTTTTTCCCCTGCATGTCTGTGTTACACTGGGAGTGGTGGTGGTGGTCCCCAGAGCTGGCTGGCAGATGATATGTTGCCTTGGTGAGCTGTCCACAAGCTGGTCATCAGACCACCAGGAACAGCCTCTGCCAAAGGTGAGGAAAACCTCCCCCAGGAGCTGCTGGTCCAGCCACTCCAGAGCAGGTGGCACGAAGGAGACCCCCATGGACAGACAGGGCTCAACTGCTTGGACGTCACCTCCAATCCCATCTCCAAGTCAGTGTCCTGTCTCCCTCCTGAAAAACAGTGACTTGTTTTGTTGGGGGGAATAATTTGTCATATCTGCCATCACAGAAATCTACACAATCACACACTTGACTGATAAAAAATGAGTCAGTTTAACAAGTTTTTTTTTACTCTGAGTGGCTTTTATAACAAAGTGCTGCATTTGCCTCTCACATCCCAGCTCTTCCAGGGGACTCAGCAGTGTGTTTTAATGACACCCCTCACACATCCTGAGTGGGAAAAGAGAGGGAAGGGTCCAGCAGATGGGACACTTCAGCATGTTCCAGGTCTTGGATAATGAGATTACCCACTGATGGTCTTGTGTGAGCCTCTAACACCTTGAGTGTCATCATACACTGCTCTTCCACATCTGAAATAAAAAAACTAACATGCCATGCACCAAGGCAACTAGTTCTGATTTTAAAATATGTCTAAAAAAAGGCCATGAGGCTGCCAGAATAAAGTTAGGAGGAAATGTGCTGGTGTTAGTGAGGTGTGTCTTGAGCACTATGGATACCCCAGGTGCTTCCCACTAGATGTTTCCAGTGTCCTCTAATAAGAATTGAGGGAACTATATCCTACAAAAGTCAGAGTTTTAGGCTGCACACAAGCCTGGAGCAGCCACAGATCAAGCCGTCCCTAAATTCTGCCTGCCTGTAGGGTCTACCCATACCGACCATGGTTCCCCCGTGTCACGTGCTTGAGTCCCATGCTTCCTCTTCTTTCAGTGAGACACTGTCCCAAGCCTATGTGCCTCAAGATCCACATCTGAATGTCAGAGAACTGGGAAGACTCAGTTCTCTGTGGCCTCCATTGCAAAGTTCAGTGCTATCATCCTCATTTCAGACTGTGGGACTGAAGGGTAAAAACCTTCAGACCAGGCTCCCTAAGACCTGGGTCCCAGGGAAGATTGAACACAGTGTCAAGGAGAATAGAAATAACACTGTCCAAGACAGAAGTGCAGGACAAAAAGAGGTCAGGCATAAGCCCGTGGGATGTCTCCAGTGTTAGCCGTGGGCATCACCACCTGCTCCAGCCCCAACTGGCCCATGGCCATAGAGAGGGTACCTCACAGTACCATACTGTCTTGCACGACAGAAATGGGTAGCCACCAGGAGCATCTTCTATCTCCTCCCTGTGGCTTACTAAGCATGTCCAAGAACAGGTGTGATGAAAGAAGCCAATTCCACGTAGCCTCCTCCAGGCCACACGTGGCTGTGCATATTGATCCACACCTGAGCATCTTCCCTTTGCTTTTCTCAAGAAGGACCTGTCCAAATTGCTGTCTATTACGCACCTCAGAGTGACTGTTTCAGATTCTATCTCACACCCAAATGTTACATGTTGGTGAGGACACCTTGTTAACCTTGCTGCAGTGTCAGCCCTTAAAGCAGCAGCACCATGAGCAGTGATGGTGTCCTGCAGTGCTGAGTGTGGTGTCCATGTGAACCTCTTCCAACCACGATTTTGATTTCCCTCGTTATTGTTCACCCCATTATTGGTCTTTGCCCGCAAGCTGAGTCCATCATGCCTGCTTCTCCACGGAAATATCCAACCACGGGTGGATATTTCTGTGTGTGACGGCTCCCAGGAGAGCCAAGGAGGCTTTTGCTGGTGCACTCTGATAACACTGAAAATGAAGTTTCTCCCAAGTCTACCCATTTTGCCGTAAACAAACCACCACAACAACAGAAGGCAGCAGTTCCTCCCAGAAGGACAGATAGGGAGAGAAAGACCACAGCAATGGCAAACCAGGGTTCCCAGAGTTTGTCCCCTTGGTGACATTTCCAATATCCCCATGAAACCAGGTTTCCCTCTTCTCAACTACTCTGCCAGGGACGGAGGCTTGTGCCTGTCTGGAAAACCTGGCTGCAAGGCACAGTGGTGAAGAAATGCAACTTGTCAGATAAATATACAGTGTCTATAAATCTCCCTGCTGTGTTTATAGGAAGCCTTGGCAGCTTCCCCAGTGCAAATAGGGGTTAAATTATTCCCTGTTCAATTTGTATTTAAATGTTATGTTTCTATGATAAGCGTAAGGCAGAGGTGTCAGATGGGCCCGGGCGAAGGAGACAACACACGTGAAAGGTGAAATAATAGAGCTCTGCAAACCAAGTGCTGAGAGGAGATGGGAAGGA